TGTTTGTTTTTGGAAAGATGTTTTGAAAGTGTAAGTATGAAGATGGTTTTATTTGTGAGCAAGTAACTACGAGCGCTCTATCTACTCAAAAAAAGTCTTAGTTCTTTTCCTCCTCCTTTAGATAGTGTTATCTTACTATTAGTTAGTAAGCAATCATATCATTGAATGTGAAGGAATATGCGTGCATCATTGTACAGTCATAGAAGACAATGTTGTAGGATACCTTAGCAATTTATCTTAAGGGTCTAAGATCGTTTACCAAAGGCAACATCGAATGGGTCATCGAAGGACTACGATCTTGTATTCGAGGGTCATTGCTAAAGTATCCCACGTTCGAGGGACATAACTGTTTTATTCTAAGGCAACAAGTGTGGGTTAACCCTAGAGGTGCAAGCGGGAAAATTGTGTTGTTTTCATGCATTTGCCTTGAATTTAGGATTGTCTACTTGTTGATTTTAAATCTTGCCATATAAACCCTAATTACTAGCAATAATATAGAAAGCGATAAATTGCAGAAATTTAAAGTTCTACGCTATTACATCATTTGGAGGATGGGGATACAATTTACAAATGTGGGAATAAAACAATTAAAACCTAATTTACTATTACAACCATATTGAATATTACAAGATAAAACATACAAGAATATGAAAATAATGTACAAGAAGTGAAAATTGTTTTGTTTGAGTTTTTGATGAAAGGTTTTAAAGTTAATTAGTTAAACTAAAATGAATGGCAAGAAATTAATTAATTAAACTCCTAGATTATAAGTTAATTCAATTAAAAAAGAAAATTAAAATGAAACTAAATCTAAATTAATTTAAACAAGAAATTAAATTAAATTTGTTAAGAAAATATTTTTTACAAGATGACAGAGAGTTTATTGAGGCAACAAAAGAGGCTTACAATTAGGATTCTAATGTGTTCTTGCGTAAACTTTTTGTTACCATGTTGTTATCGACTTCAATAAATCGACCAAAACATGTATGACAAAACACTAAGAGGTACTTGTCCAATGGAATTCTTTATGAACAACGTCAGTTATAAAAAAAATCCAGGTAATATGTTATGTTTTTTAAACACACTTTTTTCATTTCTATCTCGATTTTAAATCAAGTTCAAGTTTGTAGACAATTAACATAATTTTAAATTTAATTGTAGATTTAACTCTTCGATGATGACATCAAAGAACTCACATTGATGCAAATTGAGAAGTATCTTCAAAAAAAACAAGAGGACCTTAAAAGACGTTAAGCCTATGTCGTATCCAAATAACTATGTCTTATAATTTCTTACACTATAAAAAATAAGCTCATTTGCGATGTGATTTTCATATCATAACGTGAAAAATCACGTCACAACGTGCTATTAGCGATTTGAATGATCACGCCGCAAGAGAGCGTGTGACAACTAATTAGTGACGTGATTTTCACTTTACAATTTAGTGACGTGAAATTCACGTCGCAAAATTTTGCACAGATATCAACTACAGTAGAACAGAGTTCGGTAGGAGCAGGAAAGACAACTATTGTCAGTGTGTTGCGACGTGATTTTCATGTCACCAAATTGTGACATGAAAATCACGTTACTAAATTGTGACATGAAAATCCCGTCACTAAATTTTATTTTTTATAAAAAAAATATTTTTAATTAAATTAAACATAAAATCTGTTTTTATTATATACCAATATGAAAACAACAATAACAAGTATAAAAATCAACAACAACAATCCAACAATTATTTATATAAAATCTGAAAACAAAAATAAATTAAATTGCAAACAATAAACCTTTAACAATACTTATGAGATCTTGAAGTTTGAAACAAAATTTACCTTCAAATCTATAATTAAAAATCAAAAAATCAAAAATTAGAATTAAATTAAAAACAAAAATTAAAAAAATTAACAACCAAGAAGTGAGATGGAAGGAGTATTATATCTTTGAGTTAAATGAGTGGATGAAATGAATAAATTAGGATGGTAGAAGAGATGAAAATGAGGTTTTGGTGGAGTGAAGAAGGAGAGAAGAAATTAATTTAAGAGATGAAGAAGAAAGGGTTATGTAACTGAATGATTTTTTTTTTTTGGATTTATACACATTTTAGTGACGTTATTTTTACGTCACAAATTAGTGACATGAAAATCACGTTACAACTTAACAACGATCATAAAGTTGTAACGTGATTTTCACGTCACAACTTAAATGTATCAATGAACCTGTTCTCCATCACTTCTATTTCAGCCAACTTTTTCACTTAAAGTTTTTTATTTTTGAAATGAATGTTGCGATGTGATTTTCACGGCATAATTCAAAATTTGAAAAATTCAAATTTCCTTCCTTGTACAACTCTGACTCTTTTATTTATTTTTTATTTTGGTTTTTATGTTGCGACGTGATTTTCACGTCACAACTTTTAAAAAAAAATCTCGGACTCTCATATGCAAATGTGAGTGTTTATTGTTAAATATTAAAATCATGTAATGACGTGATAAACGCGTCGCAACTTTTTTTTTATCACATGATAATCACGTCACAACATTACGTCGTTGGACACAATTTTTCTTGTAATATTGTAAATCGACTCATTTACAATGAAAGACAATATGATATTTCATATCAGACGCAATTATACTAGAATTTATTTCAATTTCTAACAGGTAATACATCTGCAATGTATTTTTCAATTTCTATCGTCACATGTAATTACTACAAATTCATGCATCTCAGCTTGCTTTTTGTTGTATGTCATTCTTTCGACTACGTTTATAAAATTAATACAATAGACACATACAAACATTCTCGGTTATATTAGTGCGGCCTATAAAATTAGTACCCTTCATGATTTCTTATCCCTACAAAATTGTTGTGTTTGAGACATGAGACATGTGAACTCTTATGTACTTAACACCTACTGTGAACTGTTATGTATTTAAGTACTTAACACCTACTGTGAACTGTTATGTATTTAAGTACTTAACACCTACTGTATGGAATATGGTTTTAATGCTACTGTGAATTGTTATCTTAAAAACTTGTTAAGTAATAATATAACAGTGTCGAATGTAAGAACCTATATTGAAATAACAATAATGCCTATACTACCGTGACACTACATATGATGTTACTGTACCGAATTGACTTATAATGCTAAATCTCGCCAGACTTTGCCCAGTCACAATGGTTTTAGCTATTCCTTCCACTGTATCTTATTATGCTTACCATTACTGTTATTATGCTTACTATTGAATGTATGCTTAAACACTCAATGTTGACCAATAGATTGTTATACATATTCTTTCGGGTTTTCTCTAATATTTTTTACATGTTACGTTTTCGATTTTATTTAGATGAGCAGCTGAAGTTTTTTAATGAAATCATGCAAGCCATAAATGAACAAAAAGGAGGCGTGTTCTTTTTATACTGTCATGGTAGAACTGGAAAGTCATTCATGTGAAATATCCTTTCAGCGGCTATGCGTTCTATTCGAGATATTATTTTGAATGTGACATTAAGTGGAATTGCAAGTCTATTTTTATCTGGTGGAAGAATAACACATTTTAGATTCAAAATTCCCGTGCCTTGCATAGAATCATCAATTTGCAACATTGATAAGAAAGATGACTTAGTTGGATTGTTGCAAATAACTAAGCTGATCGTTTGGGATGAGGCTCCTATGAAAAATAAATTTTATTTTGAAGCTCTTGACAAGTCCCTAAAAGATATAATGGGTGATGACAAAGTAGCATCTAAGTCAATTTTTGGAGGAAATGTGGTGGTTTTTGGTGGTGACTTTAAACAAATTTTACCCATTGTTCCTAGAGGAACCATGTCTGATATTTCCCATTCTACAATCAATGCATCATATGTTTGGGATCATTGCAAAGTTCTAAAGTTGACAAAAAACATGTGTTTGGCAACTGGATCAAGTGCAACTAATGTAGAAGATATTAAGGAATTTTTAGAATGGATTTTACAAGTTGGAGATGGAAAGATATGTGAACCCAATGATGGTTTTGTTGACATTACTATCCCACCTGAGTTACTTCTAACTGATTTTGTGGATTCCATTGAAAAATTTGTTTTGAGTACTTATCCTGATCTCCTTCAAAATTATACAAATGCAACTTTCCTTCAAAGTCGGACTATTTTAGCATCAACCATTGAGATTGTCGATGAAATCAATGATTACATCACTAATCTTCTATCAGGTCTACTACTTATTTTTAATCACTTATGACATCTTATATAAATCATTTTAATTGTCTAACATTATGCTAACATATTCATTTCAATCGTTTAGGTGATGAAAAGAAGTATCTGAGTAGTGACACCATAGACCGATCTGAGGCTAATGACAATGATGGTTTTGAGCATTTGACACCATAATTCTTAAGTTATTTGAAAACTTCGGGATTGCCAAATCATTCGATGAAGTTAAAAATTGACACATGTATAATGTTGATAAGGAATTTGGATCACTGCGAAGGACTATGTAATGGAACGAGATTGATAGTGACTAGACTGACAAATCATGTCATTGAAGCCCAAATTGTATCAAGTACTTATATTGTAAATACTATTTACATTTCCAGAATGTTTTTATCTCCTTCTCAATCTCCTTAGCCTTCAAGCTTATTAGAAGACAATTCCTAATTATTGTTTCATTTGCCATGACAATAAACAAATCTCAAGGAAAATCATTAGACTTTGTCCATGGTGGACAATATTAAAGCAAAGGGGTGAGAATACACTTAAATAATTAATGGTAAAAACAAGTGGAAGTAGATTATCACCTAACAACAACATACACATTACTCAATTAATATCAACATATTAAGTATTCTCATCCAAACAACACACCAACAACAAACAACACACCAATAACAATCAACACAAATACAACACTTATGCAATATACTCAACACCGACTCGACATGTATGTGATACCAACTATTAATGCCCAGGTTCATTTTGCTCCCTGATCCGCCACCATATAATCAAATTCCCTCTTGGAACCAGAGCACACCAAAATCACTACCACCACCATAGGATCGAGGCCGGCCAAAAAGAACCAAAGTTCCAACAACATAAATGTATGGATTCTCAGCATGCAACAACAACACATATACATTGACCTCTCTTCTGACTGTGTATGCCACCAACAACATAATCACCATAAACATAGAATGCATATATTTGAACATGCAACATAATTAACAACATCATCAAAATTAACCTCATGACAAAATCATCATAACAATATCGACATAACAACATCATCAACATCAACACCATAAAAATATCATCAAACCTCATCATCATAACAACGTCGTCATAACATAACATCATGCACCACACACAAACATTAATCAATATTACTACAACCAACAACAACATAAACTTCAACAACTCAACATATACATATTCGTAAACATATGGTCATGTTATTTCATTATAACATCAACAACATTTACATTTTTAACCAATTACCATTAACATTTTCAACATCATAACATTATCACAATATAATATCAACAAATATGTACAATTATCATCAATTAATCATGTTATCATGACACGCTAAGCTCCTGAAACTAATTTCATTTGAAGCTAAATTGTGTTAGCTTTGCAATGCTTCAAACGGGGTGTCATTTGGACTTACAAATTAAAAGTTATGGCCAAAATCGTAGAACAGTGCAACCAAAAAACAAAACAAACATTATGCCAGCTTGAAGTCGACTTCTGGCACATATAGGTCGACTCCTACTGTGCAATTTTAAAAAAAAAATCAGTTTTGTTGGTTTAGAGTCTACTCCAAAATGTATGGGTCGACTTCAACTATTGTTTTTGCATAAAAAAATGTTTTTAAACTATCCAAACACTACCTTAAGTGACATCAACTTATTTTACGAAAATCTATCAAGTTAATCCAATTTCCTATTATTATATTTATAGCACCCTAAACTCATTTATTATTCCATTGGGTTCATGAATCAACAACATATCACAACAATATCACCATGTTCATCATCTCTAAATCACCATTGACACACTTAAGGTCACAATCTTCAAACATCCATCAATGACATAATATTATCAACAACATCAAACAAAATTTATGCATACATAGGGTACACGAATTTCACACCAATTCCATCATACAACAACAGTTATAACACGAAAATATGAATTGAGATTTAGAATACCCAATTCTAAGAAGGTTAATGGTCTCTCCGTCTACCCCACATGTTTTAACACCCATCAGAGAATCACATCTCTCCCTTACCTGATTTCCAGAAAAAACACCATTGATTCTTAGATTTCTTCCTCAACCTCAAGCCCTTGTTCTCCCTTTTTGCCTCTTTTGCTCTAACTCTCTAAAAATACGTACTAACACTCTCAGGTTCTTCAAATCCCTTATTTTATTCCAAAACTGAATTCCCTCTAATTAGGATCTTCCTCTTTTACCTCCAACTCATCCTTATATTTTCCATAATACCCTTACTTCTCTTACTAACTCTAATTTTCATTTATTTTTATTAATAAAACTAATATTCCTTATTTTACCACCACCCATGATATTTTAATCATTCTTCTCATAATTCTATTTATTTTAGTGTAAGTCTATTAATTCAAAATTTCGTCCAATAATATTATTTTATCTTATTTTAATTATCTTAATAAAATACTAACCTTTCTAGTTATTCTAATTAATTCCAACAAGGTTTAATTATCTCCATACTCTACGACTATTTTATACACCCCACATAACATATAATCACACAATAATTTATTTAATTAAACACTCAGTGATTAAATAAACACACAAATAAATAAATTAAATCGCTTAATTGAAAATTGGGGTGTTACAATTCTCCCCCACTTAAAAAAATTTCGCCCTCGAAAATTACTTGAGGAGAAAAGAGTCAGATACAGCTCTCTCATCTGCTCATCACGCTCCCGAGTCATGCTCTCACCAGTTGGTCCTCCCCCACACTACCTTCACCAAGGAAATCTCTTTACCATGCAACTACTTCACTTCTCGATCCTCTATCTGCATTGGTGATGCCTCCATAATCAGGTTATCTCTCACATGCACATCATCTATTTGGATCACATGAGACTGATCCAGAATGTATCTCCTCAACTGAGACACATGAAATACATTATAAAGATTAGCAAGCGACAATGGCAAGGCAATATGATAGGCCACTTCTCCCATCCTCTGCAAGATCTGGTATGGACCAATAAAATACGACATGAGCTTTCTAGACTTTAAAGCTTGACCAACACCAGTTACCAGAGTAACTCGTAAAAATACATGATCTCCCTTCTGGAACTCAAGTGCTTTCCTCCTCTTATCATGGTAACTTTTCTAATGACTCTGCGACACTTTCATATTTTCTTGGATCATATTGATCTTCTCAATCATCTGTTAAACAATCTCAGGTCCGAGTACATCACTCTCACCTGATGCATACCAACATAAAGGAGTTTTACACCTCCTACCATACAACGCCTAATATGATACTATTCCAATACTAGAATGAAAATTGTTGTTGTAAGTAAACTCAATCAACGACAAGTATCTATCCCAAGCATCTCCTTATTCTAGCACACAAGCTCTCAGTAAATCTTCCATTGACTGGACAATCCTCTCTATTTATCCGTCTGTCTGCGGATTATAAGTGTCACGGTGCGAAAAATACTCGAGCACATATACGCTCGAAATATAACAATAAAGTCGCCACTGATCTTTATTTATTCCAAAGGAATGGGAAAATATCGAATAAAACCCGCAAAAGAAAAGAAATGGTCACAACCAAGAGAGGATTTGAGAATCAGTTATGTAAGAGGAAGGTATTAGCACTCATCATATCCATCGTACTCGATAGGAACTATTTAGTTAGTGTATGCTCGAGTGTTAGTGTGATAGTTTTCAATCTTCTATTTATTAATCAAGAAATAAGAAGAGAATGGGTTTTTTAGTTTATTGGGCTCGCTAAGACTTTGCAGTCACGTGTATGCGTATCCTCGTAGTGTAACAAGGAAGTCAAAGATTTTTAGTTTAGGGTAGAAAACCACTTATTGATTGGTTGATTTTAGAAGAATGATGTGTTAGACATTTCGAGCGGTTAAACCTTTACTTGTTGCTCACTTTTGAAGGATAAAGTGTTTGTTTGTTCCACATCAAATGGATCACATCTTAGCGATTTAAACATTTATTGTTGCTCGCTCTTAGAAGCTGAAGCGTTTGTTTGTTACACATTAAAGGTATCATATTTGAGCGATTTAAACATTTCTTGTTGCTTTCTCTTTGAGATGGAAGTGTTTGCTTGTTTCTCTTTGAAATGTCTAAGACACACTCATTTGCAAAAAAGTTTTCAGAGAGTCGTACAAAGGCAAAAAAAGAGTTTAATGAGTCTATTTACTTTTATGTGGAGACATGTATTTTTAGACAGGGAGCCCGACAGTAGTATCTAAAATACCTGATAAGGGAATGAATCTAAATCCAAAGCACCTTTCTTCATCCAAAAGATTTGTTTTTTTAAGTGTGAGAGGAATCAAGATTCGTTTTACTTTATTGTGTTTTTGCCAGGAAGACGAATATTCAATAAGTGAACCCTACAACAATGGTTAAATATTCGAAAAAGGGATAGATCTAAATCTAACCTTAATGTCATTCCTGTTTTGTTTATAAAAATGATTTTTTTTGAAAGAGAACTGGATGTTGGATTGAGGTTTGAGAGTTTGATTATGAAAAGATTTGAGTGAATTAGATGAGATACTTGACGTTGCAATTGATTTAGATTTGATTTGGGAAAATACTTAATTTTAGATCAAGTATTTTTTTAGTTCTTTTTATGAAAATGGTTGATTTTAAACCACCATAATCTTATTTAACAATCACAATAATCAATAAGTAAAATACAATGGAAAATGGTAAAATTATTTGTACTTTAATGGGAATCAAGGTGCACTTTGTCGAATGGGGATAAAATAAAAGTGATTAAAATTACAAGTCCATCAACAAATAGACAAGTGAGTTAAATCATTTAATTGATTAATTAAAACTTGATTAAGTTAATTAATTAAGCTAATAAAAATTAATTAGCAAAACTAATCAATTTTAATTAACATAATCAACTAACTAAAACAAAACCTAATTAATCGATTAAGTCTCATTGGAAGAAGGCCCACGAGTAAGCCAAGAGATCGAAAGCCACTGAATTTAACACTATCGATTAAGTCTCATTGTGAAGTAATCGTAAGACGATTCATGTAGGAATCAACCCTATCTGAGGTCGAGCAATAAAATCTACGTGTCTTAAACAACTTGAAGAATAATATTGTATTGATATTCAAAGTTGTTACGCAAGGCTAAAGCAAACTGATTCAGATTGATCACAACAATAAAACCTACATTTATTTAAGCACCAATTAATTAATTAAAGCAAATTATCAAATAAAAATAAACAATCATCAAATGACTAAATAATTAACTAAACCAACAAATTACTAAATACTAAACAACCAAATTAAAGGAAAATATTATCAAGAAAAACTAAAAATTAATAAACAAGGAAAATAAATCATAAAACAAATGAAGAGAAAAATAAAAACAAATTGAAAAATGGGCCAAGACTAAGCAAAATGGGGATGTAAATTGAAAATTTACCGAGGCCCAGAAGGATAGCAGCACAGGCGTCCAGGGGACTCAAATATGCGCTCTCAATCAATACAGTTTACTATCCTTCTCTCTCACAGTTGCTCTGCAACTAACAAACCCATAAACCGACCACCTCACTGGAGAGGGCGGCGATGCGTGACGGCCGCCACCGTCTTCTCTGTTGACCATCCTCAAAACCAACCTAAACCCATAAATCACAAATCCAATGTCCAAATTTCCAAACAAACAACCAAATCTTTTAGATCGGGGTTTAAACCCGAAACCCTAACTTCAACAAAATCAAAATTAAATCACAACCATAAAATGTTTTCAAAAATCACCATAGGGGTTTGAATCAGCATATCAAGAGCTACAAGTTGGTAAAAAAATGGTGCAATGAGGTTAAAAGGTACCTGACCAGAGCAAAGTCCGACGGCGGCGTAAACGTAAGTTCTCGATTCTCTTCTTGATCTCCTCCCCTTACACTGAGAGAGGGTATATTTATTTAGGTTAAAGGTGGTACGTGTTGGGTGAAGACTCATGTGAGAGTTTGTTCAGAATAAAGAGAACAATGAAAATGTTTTTGTGAAATTTTATGTTTTGTTTTCTGCTTATACATGGTAAATTATTTAGGATAGTGTTGGCCTTAGATTGATTAGTTTGACTGGTTTAGGTTGAATGAGGAAATGGAATGATTATTGTTGAATTGAATTTATTTTTTTGGTGTTTTGCAAATTTGTTAATATGTTTTCTGAAGTTTGTTAGGCAACAAATGTGTATGTTAGTATTCGTTATGGTATGTTGATGATTGATAGTGTGGCTGAAGTTTCTTATCTTATGTGTTTATGTTAATGGTTGGTTTATTCTGAATGTTTGCAGCGCGTATTATTCGGTTACACGGACGAATCATGTTGGATAGTGAAGTTCGTGTTGGATGGAGGATGGAGCTAATGTTGATCAACTTAATCATCAACATAATGATTGTTGAATTTACAAGTCAACTAAGACAAACCAATAACTATGTCAAGTTATTGAAGCATACCGTGGTGTACAACAAACAAGATCCAACGGTAATCTTTATGATATGAGTGATAATATTGGCATAGAATACAAGTAACAAAAGACTTGAAAACCTTAGCACAAAGAACTTAATTATATCGCACAAACCTTGTTTCAAACATGAGATTTGAGTCTCCTTAAGTACCAACACATTATAAGCTTTTTTTCCTTTGGATTTCTGAATTAACTTCTTTGAATAATAGCTGAATATGTTGGATATGACTTGCTCAATAAATATCTCCAACAAAAAATATAATTTTTTATATTTCAAATTCAAATTTAAATCTCCATTTAAATTTGATTTGATCTTCAATAACTCTCAAATAAATCACACAAACATTTCTAACCAATACGCAACAACTTTTATTAAATCTCAACCACAAAACCCATAAATTTTAGGGTTAAACGTCTTTTACCTCCTGCAATAGTAGCGAGTTTGGATTTACCTCCTTTAAAAAAAAAATTCTTTTGCCCCTCAACAAACCAAAATTTCCTCTAATTTGACCTTGAGTCAAGATTCTACCAGAATCTGCATATGTGGCGCTTGACATGATTTTTTATTTTTTTTTTAAATTCCACGTGGAAATCTGACTATTTTTATTATTTATTTATTTTATTGTTTATTTATTTATTATTTTTTAAATTTTTTTAATTTTATTTTATTTTTTATTTTTTTATTATTTTAATTTTAAAATTTTATTTATTTATTTTTTATTTTCTCCCACTTGAACAATTAATTAGTTTCAACATTTATTATTCCAAAGAAAAATAGCCCAAAGTATAGTCTATAGAGCGGTTCTAACCACTCATATTCCAAAAAAAAATCATAATTTTGTTGATTTTGTAAAAATTATGATTTAGTATACAAAATTTTACTTTCATTAGTTATGTGAACATCAAAATTTACAAGAATTTAAACGAAAAACACGTAATAGTTGATTAAACATATACTACAAAAAGATGAATTACAAATTTATTGATATTTTAAATCAATATAATATAAAATAATATATGAATGGAGCGAGTAATATGTTATGGTAACAATCAAGATTTTCTTAGTGCTACTTCATACATTTCACAAATACATGTAACTTCAGAAAATGATTCAAGAATTAATAATTTTGTTGATTTTATAAAAACTATGATTTAATATACAAAATGATACTTCATTAATTGTGTGAAAATAATAATTTATTACAATTAAAAGAAAAGTGTAATAATTGATTAAACATAAATAAGAAAAGCTAAATAATAATTTATTGATATTTTAAATCAATATAATATAAAATAAAAATATTCTTTTAAATGTTAGTCTAATATGAAAATCTCATATTAGTTAATAGTATACAAGGATCTTTATCACTTATTAAACTTTGAGATTTTATCTCACATTATTGGAAAAATTTACATTTATAACAATTACGGATAAAATTTGAAACAATTTTTTATTACACTTACTTTTAATTTCTCTCAAACATTAAGCAACATTAAAAAAATTGGAAGCTGCAGTGTTTGGTTTTATATGACAGGGTAGGTAGCAACTATGACAATGCCACAAGTTTCAAAATAAAAATTAAGAATGTTTTTCATAGAATTACGAGTTGTTTTATAAAATTAACTTTCATTAAAAATATTGAAAAAAATTAATAAATTAAAATTAATAATTAAACAGATAGTAAAGTAATATTTATATTTAAGGATATAATAAAAATAATAATATTAATCAATCATGCAATAAGTTTAATTTAATAAAAATAATAGTGTTTTTTAACAGTTCTATTATATATATTTTATTTTGTGTATCAAATTAATATACCACACAAAATTAAATACATATCGAAAAAATTAAGTACTACACAAAATTAATATGGAATAAATGAAACAAAATAATAAGCTTGTCTAAGTGGGAGAAAATAAAAAAATTATAATAATAAAAAAAATAATAAAAAAATAAAATAAAATAAAAATAAAAAAATAAAAAAAATAAAAAAATTTAAAATAGTCGAATTTCCACGTGAAATTTAAAAAAATATTAAAAAAACTACGTCAAGCGTCATGTATGCAGATTCTGCTAGAATCTTGATCCAATATCAAATTAGAGGAAATCTTAGTTTGTTGAGGGGCAAAATTTTTTTTTTTAAAAAGAGAATAAATCAAAATTCGCTACTATTGCAGGAGATAAAAGATATTTAACCCTAAATTTTATTAGAACTTATAAGGATTTTATTAGAATTTTAATTAAATTTTTGGTGTGCCTTTAAATTTTTGTGATAATTAAGGGCTTAAAAATAAAATAAGAGTTATTAAAATAAAATAAAAATAATAATATAAAATAGGAAAGGTTGTGATTATTTGGAAGGAATGGGCTAAATAATTAGAATTAATAAAATAAGGAAAATTAGTGAGAATAATTAAAATAAAATAAAAACCTAATTTTAGAAAGAAAAAAAGGTAAGGGAAGTTTAGAATGTGTCACTAGAGCAAACATAAGGAGAAGAGTTAAGGAAATCCTATGAGAGTTAATATAAATCTGTGTCTTGTTAATGACGGTAAATTATGTGATTGTATGTGTTAAATTGTGATTTGTGATGTTCTTGAATTTAGGTAATGATTTGATGAACATATTGATGATTTCGTGACAAAATTGATGATATAAATATTTAATTTATGATTTATTGATGTGAATTAAGTTGTTAGCGTTTTAGGACACAAGACCAATGGTTGATAATACTTATACAAGTTAACTTGCTAAGGTTGGGACATAATTATTAATGTGATTTATGTTTAGGTTCAAAAGAACTAGTGTTGAGATGTTTAGGTTCAGGAGAACCAATGATGTGACCTTACACCGACAATCATTTGATGATTGTGTGTTTAAGTTCGAAAGAACCAGTAACTTGTAGGACTTATGTCCAGTGACGAGGATTGGAGTTGGAGATTTTTCCATGTAATTAAGTTGTTTTAAACAGATCATTTTGCTATATTTTATGATGTTGTGCTTTGACTTAAATTCTGCATTTGAAATATCAATTGAAAGGTTTTTGTCAATGTGATGCTTTTATCTTCATATTTTCTGAAATCTTTTATAAATTATACTTGGGGATTAGGGTGTTATATAGTGGTATCGGTGCCAGGTTGGTCCATCCAGCCTTAGGTATTAATAATTATTTTACTCTTGTACGGGACATGTGGGTTAACATTGTCAGTACTTTATCCCCTTACACCACTACTTTCTTTACCGTTGCTACCAACCAGTGGTTCTGTAACCACATTGTTAGTTTGTCATGAGTTGAAGATGGAAATTCAGGGTAGCACAACTGTAGTGTTGCTTGAGAGTTGACAAGCTAAATAGAGGAGTCTTGTCTATGAGTGTTTGTTCCAGGGAAATTTTTTAGAGTGGAGAGAGTTGTAACACTCAGAAAAATTTATTAGAATTTATTAGAATTTTAGCATAATTTTAATTGAATTTTTTGTGTACCTTATGATTTAATTTGTGTTATTATTGAGGGCTTAAAAATAAAATAAGAGTTATTAAAATAAAATAATAATAGAAAATCAGGAAGATTGTGATTATTAAGAAGTAATGGGCTAAATGATTAGAATTAATAAAATAAGGGAAATTAGTGAGAATAATTAAAATAAAATAAAAACCTATTTCTATAAAAAAATGTGAGGGAAGTTTAAAACTTATCAATAGAGCAAAAACAAGGATAAGAGTTAAGGCAGCCCTATGAGAGAAATTTTAAAGGATTAGGAACTTCCATCATCAAAAAGCTCAAGGTTTCAACTTTATCAGGTAAGGGGGATTGTTAGAAGTGGTTTATCGAAGTGGAAAAGCCCCTCTCTCAGTTGTAGATTGAAGTGTCGTAACTTCTCTCTACTAAAATATTTGAGCTCAATGTGGTTTAACCTAATAACCATTAACCTCTTTTGATTTTAACAGGCTGATCAAACCAACATATGATTTTATAACAGGCTAACCATGAACCTATCAGTAAGATTATTAATATTTATGATCTTCAACATTCAAATGAAAAAGGCTTTATAATAGCCTTAAGGGAAGCTCATAAACATTAACCATCTTCAACCTAAAAAACATGGGACTTATCACTCAAATCCCCAACCAAAGCTTTTATCAGGTTTAAATTTGACCACATGAATTTTTCCTAAACATTGATAATGTTCATCAAGGTGAATCAAGAACAACCTTTAAGAACTTCATACATAACTACCCATCCAGAATTACAACATCTCCCCACTCACACAAAAATTATTTTCTCACAAAAGCATTTGGCTATAGGAACTAGTGGTAGAAAGTGACAGAAAAAATTTAGAGAGAGAGAGAGAGTGTGTCAATATACATTTCACATTCTAAATGATTTAAATCGAGGAATGAGACCTCTATTTATAGCGTTCAAATCCTCCAAAAGAGGAAACGTAATCAATTCATTTTCGACCGTTACTAATCGACTGGAGCAATCGA